CACCCACACCCCCACCCCCACCCCCACCCACAACCACACCCACGCCTACACCCACACCCACACCTACACCCACACCCGCACCCACACCCACACCCACACCTACACCCACACCCACACCCACACCCACACCCATGCCCACACCTACACCTACACCCACACCCACACCCACACCCACACCCACACCTACACCCACACCCACACCTACACCCACACCCACACCCACACCCACACCCACACCCACACCTACACTCACACCCACACCTACACCCACACCTACACCCCCACCTACGCACCTACACCCTCTTATGTTGCAATGTGCATAGAAATTAAGTCGTTAAGAAAATATTAATTTATATCTATTTTATTTCAAAATCCTTCTTAGGTTTCAGAGCTGCACAATAAACTAATCATCAGCAATAAGTTTTATTTACCTTCAGGACTTAGTTTTCGTTTTGTTTTCGAATGTGTTGATGATGACTGTGGTGTCGATATGGCTTGAGTTGTACGATAATTTTTTGGTGTAGACATGTTATAATCGTTGATTGATAGTGAATTTGCTGAGGTGTCATAAGTAATAGTTGATTTACTTGATGACGAAGTGCCAACAGTTATGTTCTTTTTCAACACTAGTAATTAAAAATCTTATTACTATTTTTTATGTGAATAAAACCCATTTTTATTTTATCGCAAATAATTAATATTAGCTTTTATCAGAAGTTATTGATTATTATGAAACTCTGGCGGAGAATAACTACAGGTATCTTTCTATTTCAAATATAGTACATTGAAGAATGCGTCCAAAGTAGTTACAAACTAATATGTATGTAAGAAGGATTTGATATCTTAAAAAATTATCCCACATCTAAGAATTCCAATTATACTAGCAATTTTTATAAAAGCTGTTAGAAAGGGAGTCAAGAAAAAATCTAGCAGTATATAATGGGTTATTTATCATTGGTTTAAGCTTAATGTGCAGATTCACAACAACATGAAAAAATATAAATATTATCTGTTAGCAAAATTTTTATCCATTGTAGAAGAGAAAACTCACATGGATCCAATTTTTCTTGCTTCTCATCTGAATGATTAGTACCAATGTTCTTTGTCAATATTGAAGCAACTTTGGGCTTTTGAATGTCTGCTAATTCAGATGTTCTCTGACTTGAATGTACGACAGATTGACATCTAGACATTGGAATGTTTTTGCTTGACAATTCATTATCTAGAACAAAAGCGTCCTTTCCTAAATAATATGAAAAGGATCACTACCAAATATTTGTGGCATTTTTATCTGACGAATTGCCTGTTTCTTGTTTAGATTATGATTATGCAGATCATAATCTGCTGTTGCTTCAAATTCAGGTGAACCTAATAGATGAGAAAATGTTAGAAGAATGCATTTATATTTTCAATTTACCTTTGTCTGTTTTTGTTCTTTTTTTGTTAGATTCTCGGACAAATAATTGTTGATTATTAATGTTTTCCTTGTTTATGTCTAATAGAGAAAATTAAAAATGTATTGTATTTTCTGAGATTTCTTTTTTAAAAAAATATTTATCCACACTATTCAATATTTATTATTGATTTTTTAAGGTTTTTGTACCAGTATCTTCATATTTAAGAACAAAAAGAAAAATGTACATATTTAGAACATATGTCAATCATATTCCTTATTTTATGTAAATCTCTCTATCAAAAAGGTGTTGCTTGATATCATAATTTTAAGTAATTAACAGAAGCTATTTACTTGTTAAGATATTCCAATCATAGGATTTACCGTTTTCATTTGAAATACGATTATTTGAATTTTCTTCATGTGTTGGTAATTCTGATGCACTAATCGTTTCATCAGAATCCAACACGTCAACGTCATCCTCATCAGCCACAGCCGACAGTATTTGCACCTGTGCGGTACAATCCTCCTCTGAACCTAGAATGCGTTAAAAAAAACATCTTATTATTAAATAGAATAGCAAATTCGATATTAAAGATGAAAATAAGACTACTATGAACTCTATTAACTTTCTTAATTTCAACGAGATGAGGTACATTTACTATAAAAGCATATCTACTGTCAAAGTAGGAACCATTAGTCTGTCCAATGTTCTGACATATAATTATGACTAAAGAAAAAATAAATTCAAGCAGTACATATTTTCTTGATTATATCTTGGTATTTTGAATAGTTGCACTAAAACAGAATAGAAGCGATTTACTCACCAAATAAAACTATTTTTCCTCTACTTGTACCACGACCTTTATGATCAACCTTGTATGTAACTACTTCATTTATTTTTAATGGTCGACCAAAATCAACAAGATTTTTTGTAGGTAATAAGATATATTTCATAAGATCTTTATTACCATTATTATTTTGAATTATAACATGAGTATGATTTGTTTTTGTAATACGTGATGATGTTGTTGTATCATCCAAACTGGTTTTTGAAGCGTATGTTTGCATCTGAAAAATCAATATATGATCATTAATTCAATGAATTCATATGTTTATCTAGAAAATAACAGAGCAAGAATTTGTTTTTTCAAATGTTTATCAACCGTTAAAACACTTGTCTATTTTTGAAAAAAATTCTTTCTAGCGCGTGACACGAACAAAATACAATACAACGAATCGATTCCAACGTGTTCACGTTGTTAACGTTTTTTTTTTGAAATTATTAAAACATACATTAGGAGTCAATGCTAAACTTTTAGCGATAAATTTTTAATAATTAAATTAAAACATGATACTATTTGATCAACAATGCATCAATTCACAATTATTTGATCATCTACTAATAGTAGAAAAAAAGTCACATTCATGAGCATCTTTTAAGAGATAATATTAAAACAAAAATTCGAATTATATAAAACAAAATCTCTAATTTCTGATTGAAGAAATCATATGAAATATACCTTCATTAATGTTTGAAATAGGTAAATGTGTGTTGGATATCATGACATAAAAATATAGTTGAGTTGTGACTGTGAAAAGATATTCAACTAGAATATTAAATATGTATTTTGTGAAATATGAACAGCTAGAATGCGATTAACACTGATAAAACATATACGAATAATTATATATTATTATGTTTTATACCATCTATTTTTAAGCTTGCATATAGTTTACTCGCTGTCAATATTATACTCAATTGAAATAAAAAAACATACAAGAATAAAAAATATGCTGGTTTCTAGTGATTTTATCGTTTATATGTCAATTACTATTCGATAAATTCTGTGTTGATCAGTGTAAAATTAAAACAATGTTTTTATATCATCAACATATAATTATTATTTGTATTTGCACACTACTAGTTCAATTAGAATGATATTTTAATAAATGAGGAATTGTCATTATTTAAAAATGAATTTTTCATAAATGAAACGAAATATTTTTTTTTATTATATTATTTTTTATTATTATATTGTAAACTTGAATGACAAGTAATAAATTTAAGTAAATAAAATAGATTTGAACAAACTTGAGCAAAGATTATTAATTAATTCAAAACAAATAATAATTAGATATAGTACAATTTGAGAGAGTAACGATATAATGTATTTCACATTTATTAAAATGAAGAAAATACATGTATTATAGAAATTCATGAATTTTCTACTTTATTTCAAAGAGTTTGTTTAAATTTATTACTATACATTGTATTTATAATGAGCAATTAATAATATTTAATTCCATCTTATATAGGTGTACAATCGAATGTACAAATCATTCTAGTTGGTGGTGATATCAATAGTTCATCTGATGATGACATTCAAATAAAGTCGAAAATTCATGAATTTCTATAATACATGTATTTTCTTCATCTTAATACATGTGAAATACATTATGTTGTTACACTCTGAAATTGTACTGCATCTAATTATTATTTGTTTTGAATTAAATGACAAGAATAGTATCAACCATATGATCATTGTAATTTTAAGTTTAATTTCAGTTTAATTATCATGTACCTAGCGAATTTGAATTGAGTATCTTAGTAGAGGCTTCCACAAAAATGATAAAACTAAAACGTAAAAAAAAGGATTTTCGTTTCATTTATGACAAATTCGTAGTTTAAGTTTGATTATTTTTCACTAAATAATGTACTACCATCAACATGTGTCTATTATTCAGAGAATATGCTTTTTTATTCTGATAAACTACCTAAAAAGATATTCATTTCGTTCAAGAACTTAATAACAATATCGAGCTGCGGATGGCTCAGAATCACTTGTGTTCGGTTGGAAATGAAATTACTATGGGTTCAAATCTCAGTGCAAGCTGTCGAGAGAAAATTTACCACTCTGTTGCTCATGAGGTTTGGGGTTATATCATAGTTCGCTATGGTGCGTCGGCTCGACTCCGACACAGAGTGATGATCATTTTTGTTTTTCCTTAAGAAAAACCGGAGTGCGTGTAAATGCGTTTATCTTTTCACATGCGTCAGAACTTGTTACTGTCATTGTTTGAGTGCACGCGCGATTGCAGTATGCTTACGCATCCAAACGCATCTCCAACCATCACTACATGGAGGCGCAATCGAGACAAGAAACGCGTTCCCACTCTCAAAAATGTTGCATTATAGACGCGTTCCGACGAGACTTCAGATATAAACGAGTTGGGATGCCTGTAGGATTTGTGTGCACGCAGATGCGTTTGACTAGTTAAAACACGTTCACACTTTTGAAAATGTTGCATTTTACACGCATCCAGACGCGTCGAGTTATATTGATCACAAACGCTTGGAGACGCGCCGAAAACCGAAAAATGGTTGCATTCGGGAGTGAATAGAGAGGGATATTTGAAAGCATACGTGCTATTTCTTATACAAAAGATAAAGGTATATTTTGACGTTATTTTTATAATGTATCGTTTATTTTGAAGGACATTTGATTATTACTCATTAGTGTTTGTTTGCATTTATTAAAAAATACAAAAATACATGAAAGCACAGATACTACTTCTTATAGAAAGAAAGAAGGTATATGTGCGCATCAATTCGATAATCTTTGATTTATTTTGATACGTATTAGATTATTTTTCATCGGTTGTTGTTTGCATTTGTGAGTGAATAGAGAGGGAGATTTAAAAACATAGGTACCATTTCTCATAGACACTATGAAGATCTATGTTTATATAATTTTGGTAATGTGTGGTATATCATCATGGGTTTTAGATCATTATTGAGCGACTGTGGTTCATATTGATGATAGAATATATAGGGATATAAATGCACAGATAATATTTCTCAAAGGCAATTTGCAGTTATGTCCCCACGTAATTTTGAGAAGCTTTGATTTATTTTGATGAACATTCGGTTATTGCATATCCGTTGTGATTTATATTTATTAAGCTTTAGATAAATAGTCGGAATCGGAAGCAGAGAGAAAGCGTGTCGCAGGAAAAGTGACTTATTTGATATCATGGTCTCGATGATGGTGAACGCATTTTCGATGGAAGTGAGGTAGCCTTGTCAGAGAATTTTATACTTGTTATGAAATATCAGGAGAAGAGTTGGGAAGAAGCTTGTGCTTGTGTTCATTTGATGCTAGAAATGCTTGTACAATATTGGGAAGAGAGATTATTGCCATGATTTATTCTAGGTCTTTGGTACCTTTTTCGGGTTGTTTGTTCGGAAGGTTGAAGTGTATTTCAGTGAGTATTATTGTAAGATTCGCGCCGATTAGTTATGCGACGAATACTGCCTGGTTAGAAGATAAGTGTTGTCTTACATGATGATGAAGAAGGGTGTTTCACGTTGAAAATGTTACATGAATTGAATTCATAGATGTGGAAGAAAATTTTTCAACTCAGTTCGATTCAATTCAACAAATTCAGAAAAGTTTTCTGATTCGTTTCAACTCAATTTATAGGCATTTGAAAACTATATTTGATTCAATTGATTTCAATCTTAGACGTTCAGTTGAGTTGAGTTGAGTTGTTCAGTTCTGATCTGAAAAGAAACGTTTTTAGTAATTTGGGCATAATGTTAATACTCTTTCTGGTATTTTTATAAATTGATTTATTTTCATGGTGTTTATGTTTATTTATAATTCTGTGAAGTTTTGTTTTACCAAATAGACTTTGTGAAACATAAAACGAAACGAGATAGGAAAATGATAGAAAAAAGTACTCACTGAATATTTGGAATAATAAGATAGTCATACGAAAAAAAAATAAGACGGTAATAAGGACTCGGCAGGTTATAACCTCTTCTGTATGACTATCGTATTCGTTTAAATATTCAATCTGTTCTGTTTTGTATGATTTCTCTACTTCATTTTATTATGTTTTAGACAAAGTCTACTTCATGAGACGAAATATCACAAATTTATAAATCAAAATAAAGAAAATCTAAATAAATCAACGCATAAAAATACTAGAAAGAGGATAAGAATTATTCAAAGTTACCAACAATCTTCGTTTTAAGACAAGAATTCATGAAGGGTATTTATGACGTCGCAGACGACTTAGAAAAATTCTACAAAAAAAGAAAACAAAAGTAACGGAGCATATGAAATTCCTTAGACAATTGTGAGCAATATAATATTATTTCAAATGATCCCAAATTAAAAGGACGACAAAAATTAACAAAAAAAAAAATTATTAGAACGTAATGTGCCCGAAGTCAGAAATAACAATAATGGATTTTATTTTGTAAAATAAGTCTCCAATTGTAACATTGATCAACATGAAGAACTACCAAGCTTGGATATCCAAGACTTCAATACTGATACTCCTTCTACAAAAGCTGTTGATACTACAATCGAAAAAGTTTGGGTAAATAAAGATATTACAAATCTCACTACTCATCAAAACTGACATTAAAAATTTGTTATACCTTCCATTAACAACCAATTATTTTGAGTCCAGTAAAAAATACTACAAGCAGAAGAGAAGTTTACTTATGCGTAACATACTCACCAATTTCAGTTGATATCGTTATGGATCTTTATTTAAGAAAAAACTTGTATCAAGCCGAAAAAAGTAAAATTTGATAATATGTCGATGATATGTCAAGGATTATAGTAATGAACCCAAGAGGAGAAAAGCGGATCCTGTGGATCCTGGTAGATCCTGGTGGATCCTGATGGATCCTAGTGGGTTCTGTGGGTTCTGGTGGATCCTGCGGATCCTGGTGGATCCTGATAGCACCTGATGAATTCAAGAATAAGTCATTTGAAGTATCCCAAAAAGAAGATGGAAACAGCTGAGACTAATAGATGCAAGAACCCATTAGAGTCCAAAGAAACTAAATGAAAAAAAGTGACTTCAGCATTTGTGACGAAGAAGAAAAAGCAGATCCATGACACTGAAATGCTTATGTGTCTCAGTATCTTTTGGCGTATCATGTTCGATTGTGCGCATTTTTAGGGCCCATCAGGATCTACGCTTCCTCCATCGATCTCGTAGTATCGTTATGCGTAGTGGTTTCTGCTACGTTCTGGTTGTCTCTG